CTGCATTAAATATTCAACTTATAATTTAAACCAGACTTATTATGTTTTATTAACGATACTTTTAAATATTTAAAGCAATTTTTGCACCCAACTCATAAAATTATAGATGTTAAAAAGATTTTTCAAATAATCATTTTTCAGCAAAATTGGTTTAAGGTTTCATCAAAGGTCAACATGCCAAAAAATTTCTTTTAACAATACCTCCAAAACTATGTGGTTTATAAAGTTAAAACTTTTACAGTTTAGAATTTTTTTTATTTGTTAACAGATAGAAAGTATCAGTTGATTAAAAAATACTTGGAATAATATTAATGGAGAAAAATTCTTCTTAAAAATGCATATATTTTCAAAAAAAATACACCTAATTAATTCCGTGCTGTTAGTGAAAATCATCATTGCAGAAACAAAAGATGTTTATCAATGAAGGGCAAGTTGGACTTGGATAGCCTCTGGAAAGTTGTTTTCCCTGTTTATTTTGTCCAAATGTTAAGACTTGAAAGTGAAAGTACACTGCCAATGGCGGATTCTATAGGGGTCTTGTCTTTATACATGTCATGCTTTCAATAACAGCCTTTCAAAGACCATTCATGTCCAACTTGTCCTTTAATGATAAACATATATTATTTCTACAATGTTAGTTTACACAAAAAGGACAGAATTAAGCAGGTGCATTTTTTTTTAAATATGCACATTTTCTGATACAATTTTTCTAAAAACAATATCTTTTTAAAAATATTTGTTATCAAGTAAAACTTTCTATCTATTAATCAGTGATATATTTAAAAATTGTTAACGTTTTGAGTTTATACCACACATAGTTTTGGAGCAATTGTAAAAATAATTTTTTAGACATGTTGACCTTTGACGAAACCTTAAAAATGTGAAAATTTCTTGTATGATGCCCGCTGCCCCACTTAATTTTAATGCCATAAAAGGGAGAGACTGTTGGAAAATAACGTGTTAATTTTAAAAAGAAATCTGTAGTTAGAATATCAAGCAGCAATTTATTTTTAATAGAAATTAGTTTTATAATTTTGAGCTAAATATGTTTAATTCGCCCTAGAAAGTAATATTAAGTGGATCAACGGATTAAAAAAAATAATTTAACCGTTAAACAAGAATATTTTCTCTATAATTCATTTGTTAAAATTTTTCTTTTAATTTTAGAAAGCTAGCATAAATATCTTAATTACTGTATTTCCGCAATTGCATGAGTCTATTTTTAGTAACAATCATTTCAAAAGGAGGCCCGGTTGACCCCAAAATTTACACAGATCTGGAAAGGACAAATACTTAGTTAAGATTCTGAGAAGTTTCAAAAAAAATATATAGTTCCGTTATTTTTATAGTTTGGTATGGATCTTTACCTTTACATGATAGTGCTTATTTACATCATAGTGGGGGTATTACTAGTGAGCATTGGCTCACAGATTTCTTGTTTCTCATTTTATATTGAACGCACTGTTTTGGCGCGATATTATGACGTCATAGTAAGTAACACGTCATTTTTTTAACAGATGTGAATAAAGTACACATCCTTCCCAGTTTCTGAAACAACAATGATGCATAAAATATTGGAGATAAAAATATGCAAAAATCTGCGGCCATAATAAGTAAATACCGCTCCTAGTTCTTTTGCTTGAGGCTTCGGCTCAGGCGAGCTAAAAAACATTTAAAATAATTGCTAATAAAGACTTAAACGAGTCATTTTAATGTGTTTGTAATGTCGAAGGACCTAGTTAAGTTTTATATTAAATGTTGTACTTTATATTAAAGGTACTCAACACTCAATTAAAAAAACTATATCTTTACATCTGCTTATAATTTCTCTGTATATATAAGTATGACGTGAATGTTCATTTTGTCAATTTTATCTTATTTACATGTGTAACAGAGAGGTACTTTTGTATTTTTCACATGTTCATATATGTAGCACAATTTTAGTTGAACGACTCTCTATACATCGATGATTTTTTCTTTTTTTGGTCTCGAAAATTAATTAACAATATAACAATAATGAGATTGAGCAGTAAGGGATCTTTTTGTGCCAAACATTTACTGTGATACGGAACCTCGGTTTCTACGGTCTAATCCGAAGGACCGATTTCCATGTCCCATTGTGGTTTTGGAACCCGCGCCTTATTGTCATGACTTATCCCCTAAACCGCGACCCAAGAAAAAAAAACACAGCACCTGACGGGAGACATCTTTATTTTTATAATTAAATAATAATAATCAGTTCTAAAGTAACACACCGGAAGTGGTGCCGCGTTATACTTAAGAAGTAAACATTGGAAGTGGATGTTTCTTCGCCAAGTGCTCGGCACTACAAGTGAAAGTCACGGACTTTCGGATATGACTCTGAGTGTAGAGTATACATGTACATGTAGGTCTAAAGAACTTTATTCGGTAATAACATGTAACCAATATTTGCCCCCCAAGTCAAACTTTGATGGAGATATATTTAATTAAGTTCTTAAACAGGGGAGTATATGCTGACTTCGAAGCACTGAATATTTTCATAAGTAATGACGCCATATGTACGTAATGACGTCACAAACATGACGTAAATTTCCGTTTTTATGAATTTTACAGAAGAATATACATATTTCGTCGATATTTTGAGTAAAAGTCACCGAGCACATGTGTGTTCAGGATCAATATTTTGATCTAATGTGTAGAATGATAATATCAATGAAATATGTCAAAATTGTTCCTGAACAAACTTGCGCTCTATAAATTTTAAAGCTAAAATTTTTGAAATTTTGTCCTCTTTCTGAAAACAAGAGGCCCATGGGCCTTATAGGTCACCTGAGCATTATGCAACAACTTTTCAGTGATTGAATTTGATTCCTATTTTAAGCCAGATGCTATGGCATTCACAATTTTGAAAGAGCTGGAAGTCCATTGGTCATCATAACTATACACGTAGCAGTTGCTTAGTTTGGTTACTTGATACCCATAGGCAGGGTAGGGGAACAAAAATGCATTTCAACTAATCAGTAATATTCAGCAATAATCAGTAGTGTCCCTACCACACATGAATTCCTGACCCTTAGGCCTAGATCTACATATTGCACAATTTTTGTACAGGCATTCTTGCTTTTCAAAAATATTTGATTAATACCAAGGAGCAGGTTTCAAACAATTCATTATATATTATATTTTCAGTATATACATACAGCTCCGCCCCCCCCCCCCCAACGAAACCCCTGACCCTGGGGCCTTGAAATTCACAATTCTGGAATATTATCATAACTATATAGGTAATTCATCTGCTTAATACCCAGGAGTAAAGAAGAAAATTTTCAAAGATTTAATGTATTTGCACTATATATGTATAATCAATAGAGCCCCGCCCTAACACCGGAATCCCTGACCCTGGGGCCATAAAATTTATAATTTTTAAAGAGGCATCCTTGCTCATCATAACTTAACACTTAACAAAAATTCTAAGTGTTCACTTTAATAAATGTATTTATTCAAACACTACTTTATAGAATGGTATGATATTTTCAAATTATTACAAAAAATGAGTCTTCTCAACAATTTTAGAAAGGAAATTTAATATCACCGATGAAAACCAATGTTCCGTGACGAAGATTAAAAACAATTAATCTGTACTTTGCTTCACGTATTTTGTGTAATTAGCAATTTTTTGTGATCATTATCAAATTTTTAAAACTGCTTTCACTAAAAAACACAGAACATTGGCAAAATGACCTTTGCGATAGAAGGGAGAGACGTTGGAATGTTGATATCTGGACCATATTTGCACCACGTTTTACTCACTTTTAATTTAGTGCTTAATTATACTTGATTTAACTTTTAAAAATTTTCAAACAGTATCAAAACCCATTTAAACACAGTTTTCTATAGGCTGTGCTCATTTTTCATCACCAATCTATCACAATCTGAAAGTTTTTGACAACATTTAACCACACCGGAAGTGACCTTGATCCTCTTCTGAGGAGAAAATTTCGCGTCACAACAGGTTAAAAGAGTATTAAAGTGTCCTGAAAAAATCTTAGAAACATGGAAACAAACCATTTCAATCGTACGAAAATGAAAAGAAATCGGTGCTCGTAGTAGTCTTATATCAGCTCAAGCAGTCTGAATTATCCTAAAAGTGGCGCACTTACGTGCTAAACACCCAAGGATATTGACCAAAAGGCATTTGTGTGACGATACACTGTCAAATTTCCGGATCTGAATCCCACTAAACATATTTCGGATTTTAAAAGAAATGTGAAACCCCCCTTTCCTCACAATTCCAATGGTTTGGAAAGATTTATGCAGTACATGTAGGTATGGCAGCAGATGGGTCAATATCCTATTCAGGGGTACATAGTATCCAAAAATAAAGATTGGTTTGTAATAATTAGAGAGAGTAGTGGGTCTTACTCCATCGAGATTTTATTGTGTGAATTTTCATTTTGAGGGTACATCATTTCCTTGACACTTTCCTTAAAATTCTGACGAGATACTTACATGAAATTTAAGCAACATCGAACTTAAATATGCATCATTGAAATTATTTATCGTTTGTATTTGTTCTTTAAAACTTCAAAAATGTTAGGTCAACACTTAAAAGTTTGGTTCAGTGTATATAGGTAGTTCATTTTCTTAATACCTAGGAGCAAAGAAGAAATTTTTCAAAGGTTTCATTTATTTTCACTATATAATCAAAAGAGCCCGCCCTCACACCACAACCCTTGACCCTGGGGCCATAAAATTCATAATTTGGTAGAGGCGCTCTTGCTCATCATAATTATGCACTATGAATTAGACACGTGACTTATGGCCGGGTAGTCATGAATTTCTGAGCTCCGACGTTTTTGACCTTAAGTGTGTTCTTCTGGATCGGGGATTAAAGATATGTGTAGCCAGACCTAAAGAGTAATGATTACCATTTCTTAAAGGAAAAAACTGGAGTTTTTGGCAAGTTTTTTAGTGATTTATTTGTGTTTTCTTTTTGCCCCTTTTTGAACAATAGAATTATGAGTTCCAGTCGTGAGCAGATGTCAGTACAAAAAAGGAACAGTGGACACGGTCAGCCTACTCCGGACTCCAGCACTAGCGGTATATCTTTTGTTCCTCAATTCATGCCGCCGTTCACGCCTGAGTTACTCGGTGCAATGCAGACCCTACCGAACTTGCAGATAAGCCTGGGGGAAATAACGGAATCTTTAAAGGCAATTAAAGGCTTAACACAAGATATAAGTAATATAAGGAAAGATCTATGGGAGGAAGATGGATTTGATTTTCGTATATGTCATGTTGCTCAACAACAGGAGGAGAACATCGACAATATTCAGATGCTTCAGCAGGAAAACAAAATGTTAAGAGAAGATGTCAACATGTTAAAATCAGTTGTCATTAATTTAGACAGAACAGTCAGAAAACAGCGATCTGAAATTACAGATTTAAAGTCAAGGTCAATGAATCAGAATATTCTTATTCACAATCTACCAGAAGAGGAAGATGCGGAAAACTTATTTGAGAAAATCCCACATCTCATAAAAGAGCATTTTGGAGTGGACACTTCCTTCGCAAATAATCATAGAAATGGGCCAAAAACTTCAGGGAAACCACGAATTATTACTGGCAGACTTTCAAAATTCAGTGATAAAGAAAAAATTCTCCAAGCGCAAAGAGAACTAAACAAAAGAGAGCGGAAGCCTCTGACCAGACGGATCAGACTGCAGAACCAAAGTCACCCGAAAGAACCTTTTACGTCACGCCACAGAGACCAATAGAAGTCGCGGAAAACCGAAAGAAACTTCAGGAAATAAATGATCAGTACTGGAAAGAGAAAGTGAAGACACGATTCGTAGGAGACAAGCTAGTATTTCCTAATGGAAATGTGTACAGAGACAAAGTATTGAAACCAAAGCCAGAAAATATACTAGATATTACCAAAGCAGATAAGGAAAAGCTTCAGCAGATTCCTATGTCTACCATTGATTGCTCAGACGAAGGAAATACTTTCAAAGCAGCCGCAGCAACAACAGATACATACAACCAGGTTAGAAACTTTTACAAAAAAGTTGTTATAGACCCATCATACGCAACGGCAGAACACAATATTTTAGTGTATCGTTTCAAAGATGGTAATGGCGCAATCCACGAGGGTCACAACGATGACGGTGAGTACGGTGCAGGAAGGCGGCTTATTCAAATTCTACGATCGATGAATGTTACAAACATGACATGCGTGATTTCCAGATTCTATGGGAAACATTTGGGCTTTCGCAGGTTTCAAATCATGGAAAACTTGATGGCAGACATTGTTCTTGAACATAGTGGCTAATTATGTACTCAGGTCAGGTAATCAGTATATTGGAACTTTCGTGCTCAATGTAATGAGGTGTATTAATAGTTAACCATCGTTAACATGGTCAGCAAATTATATGTAATATATGTAATGTATTTATTTCCTTCTTATCAAAAGAACTGGTTGCATAGTAAAATGTGTAGCGGTTGTTTTTTTCATCAATGATTATTATTATATATACTTACGTATTTAAAATTAATGTCTAAATTGAAAATTGAGTAAATTTTCACTCCCATTTCTAATATTTAACAATACGGAATTTTCAGATCCGTTGTGTTTTGATTCTAAAATTTGTCACCGCTTTTCCTTTCCGGTATCGAACCCGATTCAAGATGATAATCACATTTTGGGTTAAAACTTAAAGGTACTCTGAATAAAAATGAACTATCCATTTTTTGTACATAAGCTGTATGTTTTTTTGTTTGTGTTTTTGTTATAAACCTGGCTCTTGTTAAAAAGGATTTTTTTGTTTACTTGCAACTGCATTGGTATAGACAATGTTTATTGCATTCCTTTTTTTTTTATGGTGAGCTTGTGTTGATGTACTATAACGAAATGGAATTAGATTATGTCTTTTAATATATCTATTATATCTCTGAATGTAAGGGGATTGCGTTTACTTAGTAAAAGAAGATGCTTGTTTACATGGTTTAAAGAAAAATTTCCTGATCATTTTATTTATTTACAAGAAACACATTCTACTGAGCTAGATCAACAAATATTGAAAACTGATTGGGAATCTGATATAATTTTTTGCCATGGAGAATCAAATAACAAAGGAGTAGCAATTTTATGTCCACATAATATAGATTATAAAATAATTGAAAAAACAAGTGACAATATTGGCAGATTTTTAAAAGTATCCATTTTAATAGATGATTCAAAATTTACATTGATAAATGTGTATGCTCCAACAAAAGATAACTCAGCTGAACAAGTTGAATTTTTAGAATTTTTGTTGACTCATTTAGATGAAGAGAGTGAGAAGAATTTGATATTAGGTGGTGACTTCAATATTACCTTAAATCCTTCCATAGACAAACAGGGTGGAAGCACTGAGGAAATCAAGATATAGGGATAATCTAATTGCTGCAATGGAAGACCTAAATTTAATTGATATTTGGAGAGAAAAAAATCCTGAAAGAAAACTGTTTACATTTTTGCGAAAAAACCCAATTATTTTGTCAAGATTAGATTTTTTCTTGATTCCATCTTTTTTGGTACCTTTTGGAACTGCAAGTATTAAACCATCGATAAAAATAGATCATAGTGTTATAATCATAACTTTGAAAGGGAAAATATTTGTGGATAGAGGCCCTGGTTTTTGGAAATTCAATGTATCCTTACTACAAGATGAGATATTTTTAGAGAAAATAAAAGAAATAATTGTACAGTTAAAAGAAAAATACACTAGATTAGAAAATAAACAGTTAAAATGGGACACAATTAAATGTGAACTAAGGGGTTTTATTGTAAAGTATTCAAATCTTAAAGCACGTAGAAATCGAGAGAATGAAGAATGTCTAACTAAGAAATTAGAGGAACAAAATGTAAAAATAGCAACAGACCCAACTGAAGAAAATGTAAACATATATGATAAAATAAAAGAAGAGTTGGAAATAATAAATGATAACAAAACCAAAGGAACTATATTAAGATCTCAGGCCAAATGGCATGAAGAAGGGGAAAAATGCACAAATTTTTTCTTATCTGGAAAAAAGAAATTATAGAAATAAATGTATTTCAACATTAAATATAAATGACAATATGGTACAATGTAAAAATGAAATATTAGAAGAGGAGATGAAATTTTACAAGAAATTATATACATCTGACTTGGATTTTAATGAATATAAAGAAAATCTTGGTTATTTTTTGAATAATTCTAACATTCCAAAACTTAAAGCTGAGGAATCCCTTTCATGTGAAGGCCCAATTACATATAAAGAATGTGAAAATATTTTGAAAACATTCAAACATAATAAAACACCTGGGGCAGATGGGTTTCAAATGGAATTTTATGAGTATTTTTGGAAAGAGATATCAGAACTAGTTATAGATAGCATAAATGAAAGCACTAAAAAACAGGCCCTCTCTGTTGACCAAAGAAAGGGAATAATAACTTTAGTTCCAAAGAAAGATAAGGATAGAACTTTGTTAAAAAATTGGAGACCAATATCTCTTCTAAGTTTTGATTATAAAATATTATCAAAGGCATTGGCAAAGAGAATGAAAACTTATTTACCTCATCTAATAGATTCTGACCAAACTGGATATCTAGAAAATAGATTTATAGGAGAAAATATCAGAACAATCTCTTATCTTATAAACTATACTAGTATCAAGAATATCCCTGGATTAATTCTTTTAGTAGATTTTGAAAAGGCATTTGATACAGTAGAATGGTGTTTCATTGATAAAGCTTTAGAAATATTTGGTTTTGGTGAAAGTTTTAGGCATTGGGTTCAAATCCTGTATACAGATATATCTAGTACTGTCATAAACAATGGATATGCAACATCTTTTTTCAAATTAAGTAGAGGGGTAAGACAAGGATGCCCTTTATCACCGTACTTGTTTATTTTATGTGTTGAATTGCTTGCAATAGCTATAAGAGCAAATAAAAATATACGCGGCATAAAAATAGGGGAGACCGAATTTAAGATTAGCCAGTTAGCAGATGACACTACATGTTTTCTAAGTGATGAAAAATCAGGAATTGAAATATTAAATGTTATTCAAAATTTTAAGCATTGTTCTGGATTGAAAATTAATCTGAATAAGACTGAAGCAATTTGGATAGGAAAGAATAAAAACTTCAAACCAGGAATTCTGCCAGTAAAATGGTCAAAAGGTGAATTTTTTACCCTTGGAATTTGGTTTAGTTCAAGTGGGGAACAAAAAGTTCTTTCTAAAAACTTAAATACAAAACTAGATGAACTAAAAGCAACTTTGAATTTATGGAAAATGAGGAACTTAACACTTATTGGCAAAATTCTAATAGTAAAAACTTTAGCAATATCTAAAATAGTATATCAAGCACAAGTACTTCCACTTCCCCCACAAATGATAAAGGAAGTGTCTTAAAGAACTGAATAAGTTCATATGGAATAATGAAAAACCAAAGGTTAAAAGTTCAGTATCTTGCCAAAAAGTTAATAAGGGTGGATTGAAAGTTCCTAATTTTGAAGCACAAATGAAATCATTAAAACTTGGTTGGGTTAGAAGGATATTTAGTAATACAAACGCAAGATGGAGAAGTACAATTCAATATTATCTGAAGGATATAGTATTAAATGACTTTATAATTAGCAGAGGTTGCTTAAATAGCCTATATACAGACTTATCATTACCACAGTTTTACAGAGAAATTTTAGAAACATGGACACAACTAAGATGTAAGGATATTGATATTGAACCAAAAATTTTTAAAGAAGCTCTTTGGTTCAATGATAACATTAAAATCAATAATGAAACTGTGTTCTGGAAAAAATGGTACACAAAAGGAATCTTATATATTGGAGATATTTTAGGTGATAAATATGATTTTTTAAGTCATGAGGAATTAGGTAAACATTATAACTTAAATGTATCTTTTTTTGATTACTTTTGTTTAAGGAATGCCATTCCATATCACTGGCGAAAATACTTAAGGCAAAACAAAAAAGTTTTAATCAATAGAGATTCTTTGATCTTAAGATTCAATGATAAAATAAGTCCATTGTCAAAATTATCTTGTAAAGACTTTTACTGGATTATAATAGAAAGTCTAAATGAAGTACCAACATGTGTACAAAAATGGGAGAAAATATTTAACACAAACTTTTCACCTGCAGACTTAGAAAAAAATTTTATGCTACCTTTTGTGTGTTCTAATGAAACATCATTACAGTCTTTTCAATATAAGCTAACTCATAGATTTTTATCACATAATAAACTACTTTTTTAAATGAAAATTCAAACTTCAGCACAATGTTTATTTTGTAAAAAAGAAGATACTTTAGAACACAAATTTTATTATTGCACTTTTGTTGCAACTTTTTGGAACCATTAGTAGTATAAGGGGTCTCAAGATAGGGGAGGATTCTGATTGGCTGAGAGAAATCATGTGATCAGTTCTGAGGTTGAGGGGATAAATGGGTCAACTGAGTGGAGTTCTAACCCTAACCTCTATCCCCTAACCCTAACCCTAACCCCCTAACCCCTAACTAACCCTAACCCCCTAGCCCCTAACCCTAACCCCCTAACCCTAACCTAACCTAACCCTAACCCTAACTAACCCTATCCCCCCTTAGCCCTAACTAACCCTAACTAACCCTAACCCTAACTAACCTTAACCCCTAACCCTAACTAACCCTAACCCCCTTAGCCCTAACCCCCTAGCCCTAACTAACCCTAACCCTAACCCTAACCTCCCTAACTAACCCTAACCTATTCCCCTTAAAT